GGTAAACATCTAGTATCTACCGTTATTATTTCTTTACTAAGAACCAAACATGAGATAAACACAGATATCGTCATGAAAACACGGTACAAAGATATTACCACCCATATCAACGAAATCACACGAAAATCGGGAAATTTCGCGCTATTAACCGCCTAAACTGGTGATTTCTTTTCGGTTTTTAGAAAAAACCGCAATTATTTAAAGAATATTTACGATGATGAAACCTGATCGTAGCATTTGAATCTACGACTATCACTACATGTCGACATACATGCCATTGTCGCTTACCAACGTGCTGACACGAGCTTTTTTATGAACGACGAGAGAGATAAGTTCTTTGCTCCCATGCACAGTAAATAATGCAATTCTTTAAGTAAGTTAATGCTTAGTGATCCTTTTTTTATTGACAAAGACTTAAATAGAATACAAAAGATTTTTTTTATTAACTAATATTTACCATCCATTGAGATATTGAAATGGAATACAGTCTAAAACGCCTTTTCAAAAATGTTCTCGGTGAAAATGTCTCTCATTCTCAATGGTTGCTTTTTAAATACCATGCTATTGGAACGTAGATGACACTGTAATTCAAACACACTTCGGTAGATATTTTTATTGTTTATCTCAAAGATTTATGTCGTATAGCAATAAATCCAATAAGAGCGAAACAAAATTTTATTCGAGTACCATTAAATTTTCGTATATCATATTTAATGAGAATAATCACAACAAAAACTTCCAAGTTAATGGAATTGCACAACACAATAATGAGGGTGTGAGTGTGAATGAGGGCGAGGCATATACTCTACTCGCATCCAGTGAAATGAATGCCTTTTAAGTTAATCTTCGAGCAGGACTTATTAAACGGTCTCGAAATTGGAGAATTGAATTTCATTTTTTTCGCAAAAAGGACCTTTATAGAAAATTACATTGAATTTCTGTGAATATGGAACACCACTCAACGATTAAGAGTAGAAATGTTGAATGAATGGGCTTGACATTTCCAAAGGTTAGATGTAATCAAACCCAGCGGGCGCGATTAGGCTATTTCGATAGTCTCAACTCGAATTCACCAACCTAAGTATGGAGAAAGCTTTTGTCGAGTGGTCTATGAATCAACATTGACTTAAACTATGAAGTTACCTATATTTCTAATAAATAGTGAGAGAAGAGTGTGTTTAGTGAAGCTGTCGTCATGATATGGTATATGTGATATTTCAGTGTGTTTTCTCTGTCGTTGAAATCGATTGCACAACTTTATTTACGATCTCTTTTATTGCCGCAATCTAGATCAGGAGTACTCAATCAAATCCCACGACCCATGGTCTGGAAAAAAATATCAAGTCGAAATGAAACTTGCTCACAAGCCTATGGGTTGAGTTATTGGTGTTCCATTCAGCAGGATCACACTCACTATTACTTTCACTTATAATGGTAACAATAAATGTTTTTATAGTCGAAAAAAGTCTTAGTTTGCAACGATAAATCCTTAATATATCTATTGGCTATTTATCGTTGCACAATAATCATTGTTGGTTACCATTTACCTGGTAAGTAGTTTATATTCAGCTGAAGCCTCGCAATTTTCATCATATTATTGATGATTCTACTAGAAATCTTTCATGACTTTTTTCACTCAGGAATAATGGAAATCAAATCTAAAATCATTGTAGATTGAGGATGTCTTGATACTTTTCTCAAGAAATCGATGATTCTGAAAACTGGTCGACTATTATAGAACAGTGAGCCTACATATCCAAATTACACACATTCTTCTCATCAACACAATGCTGTGCTAGCTAACATGTATATAAGGTGTGTGTAGTTTGAAGAAAGGTCAATGAATAAACGTATTGGCATGTCTTCAACTAGATACTAACCCACTGATTGGCCATCGTGGTGAGGATATAACACTCCTAGTTCCGTGAGCTATAAAAAACTGAATTTCCGGCATCTCTGATGTATAGAACTTTCTAAATGTTTGAGTTATTTCTAGTTCACATCTTTGAAGAAGATACAATTAAAGTACAAACATTCTGTTATATACAATCATTCTCCATTTTCTAAACACAAGACACTAGCACCATCATTCGCAATCAAATGTACATATTTCCATTGATTCAAATTGTCGTCCAATATTATTTCATTATGAATGAAAATAGAAAGTCTGTATAGAAATCAATTTCTTACGAAAGATTTTGCTTTTTCTATTTTAGATTTAATATTAAAGAAACGAAAAATATGAATTTTGAATCATTAGCTAATGAATTATTGCTTGATATATTTGAATATTTCAATGCTATTCAACTTCTTCATATATTTCATGGTTTAAATATTCGCTTTAATAAACTTATTTATCTTCATTTACAAACTTATCCACTTGATTTTCGATGTATATCTAAACAAGATTTTGATAATATTTGCCAAAAACATCTTCCATTCATAACAAATCAAATCATATCAATTCATCTTTCAAATGATGATGATACTCCTGAACAACCAAATTTATTTTTTTCATATGGTTTTCATTTTCAACAATTTAAAAAATTACAATCACTTTCATTATATTATATTCGTTCAACAGATTTAATTAATAATATTATACGTAATTGTCCTCATTTAATTTATCTTAAAATTAGTAAATGTAATTTTGATGATAATATGGAGAAAGCTCAATTTTGTGTAAATAATATTTGGAATTTAACAAAATTAAAATATTGTTATTTGGATATACCATTTTATAATGATTTTTATATTCCATTACCAACTATAATTTCATTATCTCTTGAAAATCTTTCTATTGCAAATGATTTATTTAATATAAATGATTTAATTCGTTTATTTCGACATACACCTAATATACGAAATCTTAATTTAAAAATCCAAGATACATCTAATGATGAACAATTTCCATTTATTATTCCTTTATTATCAAAATTAAAAATATCATTTAAAGGTTCATTAGATACATTGAAAAATCTTTTACAATCTATGCCTAATTTATCAGAATTAATTATTGAAACAGATGGTATTTTTATTGATGGATATCAATGGGAACATATTATTATAAATAATTTAAATAAATTAAAAGTATTTAGATTATTAATGTTCTACAAAATGGACCTTGAAAAAAATATAAATGAAGAAGTTGATCAATTACTTGAATCATTTCAAACGAAATTTTGGCTTCATGAACATCAATGGTTTGTTCGATGTGATTCTGATAGTGAATATGGATTTACTTATCTGTATACTCTACCTTATGGATTTAAAAAATTTTATAATCTTGCAAGTGATATGTCAAAATCTACTTGTTCAATTGATAAAAAATATAATGCATCAAATTTTGTCAATACTCTTAGTCTTGATTATTTTTTATTAAGATTTGCATCGCAATTTCCAATTCAATTTTCAAATATTCATCATCTTGAATTATCAGTTCCTTTTGATGATATTCTTTGGTCAATTATACCAAAATTCGATCGATTAATATCAATTGAATTAGTATCAATTATTCATCCAGATGAAAGTGATCGACCAATAAATGATCTTCGTCTATTACTTAATCGAGCTATTCATTTATATTCAATAACAATGGATTATTTAATTGTGTCACAATTATCATTAGTACAAATAACAAATAAATCTATACGTCGACTTGATTTAATAGCTGGTGATGGACATTTTTATGGTTTAGAATGTATTTCATTAATTCAATCATTGTTAGGTGATCAATGTGAAGTTTTATTAATTAATATTGAAAATCGATCAATTGCTCTTGATTTAATTGAAAAGATGTCTAATCTTCGTGCATTAACTTTTCAATGTCAAGATGATCGATGGGGTGATAGTAATGAATCATTATTAATAGATGATGAATTTATTCAATGGTTAAAACATCGTTTACCATCAAATTGTTTAGTTGTTAGAGATGAAAGTGAATTATCTGCTATTCGATTATGGATTCGTTAAATTATTTACTATATTTTTTCCCTATTTGTTATTTAACTAAATTCAGATGAATAAAGTTAAATCTGTATTGTTGAAAGTTATCTTGTAAATTTTCATACAGAAGTTAGTGGAACAGTAGATGGAAATATAGATCTTCAATTGTGTTGATGAATAGAATAGATGCGAGAAACACGAGATTGCTATTATATTCGTATATTAGAATACAAGCAGTGCTAGTATAGGCGATTCAGACGTATAAACATAATCAGAGTGTCTTGACAATGACTCAATTCTGTTAGTTTTAACTGACTTCAAACATGTTCACCTGTTTTAATAAAAGTCACTATGTTACATCATGTTTCATCTCAAGCTGATTATGTGTCTCTTACATAAAGAATACCATCATTATGATTTACTTTGTTAAAACTAAGAACAGTGACTTAATATGAACAAAAACTGTATTCGTGAAACAGGTTTGTCACATCCTCAAGACAACAAGGTGAAAAGTTGCTTTTTTGTAGGTTCTTCACATTTCTTTGAATTTAAATACCTTGTTGCTTCTTTCAATGGCACTTCTTTATTCTCAAAGTTGAAAAACATAATAAATAATACATAAAGAAGATGAATATTTCATTCAGTACATTATTTTTTGAATGTAGTTACATTTATTATTTCAATGAACTCCGGCTATCAATTTCTTTTGAGTGAACAGATGTTCGTGTGGCAATAAAGCATTTCAAAAAATTTGTATTTCAGCCGCTATGGAATTATTGACATTCAATTGTAAAAAACATCGAACAACTGTCTCATTTCCGAAAAAAATACTTTGAACATTGATGTTACTTACAGAAATAGAACGCAGAATAAATCACAGTTTGTCACATGAAATAGAGGGAAAATGTGGAACAGCGGGAAAAAAAGCGAAACAAGTGGTATCTTGTTTATTAGTCATACAATAGATACGTTGAGAATTGAGCATTTATAATATTTATTTAAAAATACTACAAAACTGTTGAAAAAGAATTTAGCTAAAGATTTTAGAAGAAAAATTAAGAACTAATTCTGGTAAAAGATTGAATTTTTTGTCTACAAATTGGACATGAATGAATTGCATATCCACAAGGAACACAAGCACATAAATGTCCACAAGGCATACATGCTAATTGTTTTTCTTCATTAAGACATATAAAACATTCACCTAATGATTGTTTTAATGATTGAGATGAATTATCTAATTGTTGATATTTTGATGGAATTATAATATTATCAGAAGAACCTTGAATAATTTCAATTTGTTTTTGAAGAATTGAACAAGCCGTTGATAAATCACTATCTGNAGAAAACAAATGAATGACATCAACAAATGACATTTAAATATAATATAACCTTCAATAAACTATTCATTATTGAAGAAAAATCCCATTTAAATTACATTTATTAGTTATTTATTATTTTTATTGAAACAAAATGGGTCATACATGCTTCATTATTACTCAATCTATGTGTTATAGATCAAGATCAATAACAGTAATAATGAAATAAATCGGAAATTAAAATACAATTAATTTTTATAACAACACACATTGACAATGGCGAACTATATTCGTCGAAAGCTTTGTAATAATAATTATTAAATCATATTTATCATTTTGAAATTCATCAAATCATCAAAAAAATATGATCGTTTACATTTATTTATCACTTGAAGAAAAAAAGCATGAATTTGGAATTGGACGTTTTATTCGTAATGAATTCGACCAATTCTAACCAATTACATATATGTACTGCTGGAATGGTGGCACCATCACCATCTATAACTGTACATTATCATTTTCTATAAGAACATCTACATGGAAAAATAAAGGAAAAATAAAATAAAAGAACATAAAATGAATTTATGCTTACAAATAAATAATTTTTAAAGTTTCATATAACATATGATAATCTATTCACTATTGAAGAAAAATCCCATTTAAATTACATTTATTAGTTATTTATTATTTTTCTATGTGCTGAAACCAGTTGCTGTTTCGGAACGATTTCTCTCGAAAAATAAATAAATAAATCAAATTCATTCAAATTTTAACAAATGCTCAGAACAAATCCAAGAACCAAATGAAAAAAAATATCTAATTCCATTTTAATAATTTTTATTAAACGGTTTTCTAACTTTTGTTTTTATTTTTGTCCTGCGTTAAAGATTGTAATGCAGAGATCTGATGTGTGTTTTAATTTTAAAATAAAATAAGACGAAAGGTATCGGCAAATTGATCTCTGCATTCTATTTTATTGAATCTTTTAAAGCACTTATTCAAAAAATAAATCAATTTAAACTCGGCTCAGTCGACTGCGGAAAAGCAAAAGTTGAGAATAGCAGATTGATTGTGATCTAAGTCTATGGATCAGTCTGTTTTCAATTGAATTATCAAACCAGCTTGCTTTTTTAAACAAGACTTCTGCTTTCCAAATACACGTTCTTCTCCTGATCCCGCCAAGGCATGTCGTACGAGGGCAAGTTCACATATCGGTCCATAGTCAGTTGCAGCGTGGCTCCTGTTCCTGCAGGAAGCTCGACTTCCAGCCACTTATGGTTAATCGCGACGATTTCTATAGCTGTTCCCGCGTCGTTTAATACATGTACCTCGTTGAACCGATGCTCTCCAAACGTACCGGCTTGAATGATAAGCGTTCGTTGTTGAAATAAGTCCACGTTAGCCAGCTCTAAAGTGACTGAATGATTCTTGAGTTCTTTAACGAGCACAGCTATGGATTGCGGGAGTCCAGGACGTTTTCTCTCTGCATCATAATAACGTACGCGTGCATGCTGTAGTCCTCCGTGGGATATATGCATCGGTCCGCCTAGGGTTAGCTGGACAAGGCTTTCCATATACACCGGGCACATTTCCTGCCAGACATGAATAGTGGAGAAATCATCTTCATTATATTGATCGGTCCAGTTCTGCGGATTTCCCGCTTCCGAGCGCATTCGCCTCAGCTGCTGTTCAATCAATTGGTAATTGGCATCCAATATGCGTTGCGGATAATCGGGATTAAGACCACGAATATATTGAAACCATGGCTCCGTATTGCCAATGTAATGCTTTGTATCTCTTCCCGTCTTTTTATCCCTTCCAGAAACTGTCGGGATGATTACCTCATTCCAATCGTGATCTTTCGCAATACGGTCTATGCGCTCTAAGTCTTCGTCAGCCATGGATACTGTCCATAGATAAACTGGATATTTCGGCGCTGGCTTGCGATAATCCGTCCAGCCCGAATCAAAGCGCTTGTACGGCACCAGCCATTGACCTTCATGCTCCTTGCGCAGCGCCCAATTCGCATCAAGTTGATTTCGGGTCAAATTGAGTCGGCTTATATCACCCGTTAAAAGCACAGCATTCATGCATGCGTTTGTTAATGGTTCAATGATTGTCACGAATCCATGTGGCCAACGCCAGCCATAGTAACCACCCCACCATCTACCGTCATTATACTGTCCAATCTCACCGGTTAGTCCTACATTATCCGGAATAATTCCGTCATTTTGCCGGCTCCTCTCTTCCCAAGCCTCTAAATAATCCAGCACCCACCTACGATATTTCTCCTCACCCGAGTACAGAAACGCATGGGTCACAAGCCCTGTTGCATTCAGATTAAGCGGCACATCGCCACGTGTCATCCGCTCGTTCATCAAACGTATGATATTCGCGTATACATCATCATTCGACCAGGCGCATTTGTCGCTAGCAAAATCCACACCCGGAATATCTTCATAAGGTGCCAAATAGTTATCCAGAATACCGCGATGAGTGCTCCAATCCTCAGTCGTCAGCGCAAATCGTGGTCCCCGACTGCCTGTTATCGGCGAACGGATCAATTTATGCTCGGTGTCATAATTCTGTGCCTCTTCATCTTCTCCTATGTACATGCCAGCAAAACGGAATGCTCTCTGACGATCCTTCAAAGTTGCCGGAGCAGCAAGTCCCAGGAAATAAAAATACAAGTAACCCTCACCGTGATGCATCCAATCATAATAAGCATCAAACTCACGATGAATTTGTCCATATTCGGTCCATTGCCAGGTGATGCCCTCCCAGATTTTGCGCGAAAGTCCGTGCAACTCGTCGCTTCCACCTAGCACGTAGAGGAGCGCCAGATTCATAAAGCCCTCATACGGGTCATCCGATCCGTCCATTCCTGGCCAATCCCGGCGCCAGATCAAAGTTCCGTCCTGGCGTGTATAGCGCGCTACAAATTCAAACGCGGCCTTGTTCAGTTGATCAAACAATAACCGCTCCGTCAGTGCCCACTGTGGAGGAATCATCAGATTCTTCAGCGAAATCCTGGTAAGCGATTGCAGTACATCTTGCCCTGAAGTATGCAAACACATGTCCTCATTCCTCATTTTCTATTATGGGGATTATCGAAGAATATCTCGTTGTCAAACAAATGATATACCTCTTGCTTTTTCTTCTCTTGTAGCCCAGCTCGATTGCAAAAAGTGGCATTCACCCGCAAAGTGCTTAAGGAGCAAAATACAGCACAGCGTAACATGAATATTCGGATGGCCTAAGTTGAAGTGCCTTACAGGCTCAAGCAGCTCTATGGGCACCATCTTTCTTAAAACCCACAACTTGCCCATTTTACCTTCGGTTTCTTCGATAACTCTTGACTCAAAAACTGTACAGGCATCCTCGTAAGAATCCCCATACTCAACACACTTCCATTTATGATCTTCAGGCCCATTGCCCTAGTCAAAGAAAGTATTTCGTCTTCAGCTGTATTATCGATAAGCACCACATGCTATGCCTAGTGCCACACCCTCACGTCCGAATTTCGGCAAACGAGGGCCACAAATTCAAAATCATATACAAATTCGGAAAGAGCATAAAAAACCGCGTATTTTCTACATATTAGATTTGCTCTAGTGAAATTAATACAGGCAAACGGTATCCTCTGACGGTTTGGAGAAGGAGATCATGTAGGTAACGGAGCCGACCTTCAACATGTACTGCTTCGACTGATGCACTTTTCAATGATGACTTCAAATATGTACTCGGTTTTGAATTTTGAGTAAGATTTTCAGATGAAAATGGTGGAAAAGGTCTTGGTATCATGTTAAATCTCTATTTGGCGATCGTTTGGCCGAATTACGGTGTAGGCGTATGGCACTGGACATAGCAAGAGTAACAGAAGATAAATGTGACATCCTCAAGCCATCTCAGATTTAGGGCCGCAAATCTTTTCAAACGTTGAACAAATGAGCGTCACTTGAAAGCTAAAATCGATCATTTTTCAGCGCTCGCTTTTTATAGTAAAATAATGCAACATTTAGAAAATTGCCAGAGCTATAAACGGTAAAATTTTGGAGTTTGCAAACTGAAAGTGGAAATTGTAGGAATTCAAGTACTCAACAAGAATGTTGTATCAAAACTCGAAACTCTTGTACCTTGAAACATTTCTCTTCATTTTATTTTTCCTCAAGTCACATAGTTCAATTTGAGGATAGAATTTATTAAACTTACTTCTGGTCTAATCTAAATTTTGCCTGTCAACAGTTATTGTCGATCTGCTGGTTAATCGTCTTTTAGTCTCTTCATGAGAAAGAAACTAAAATTTTTTCAACAGACGTCTATAGTCATGAGTGTCCAGCGTGACTAGGTTTCAAGTCAAAATCCGAAGGATGAAATGACGAAGTCGCATAGGAAGATACGTCGGTTCATTCTTATTCTGGATACTAAACGCATTCGGCTTCTATACAGAATTGTTCTCATAGTTTCCCACCCATTTTCGTAGGTTCTACGGCTAGTTTCGGCATTATACAAGGTCGGAACAGAGCTGTGATCCGACACAGGTCATGAGCCTCAGGCCGATTTTGAGATTCGGGACAACTAGGATGTTTGATATATCAATCGATAGAAAATTGTCTACTGAGTTTCTGATGTAAATTTGAGATAATTCAGGTGAATGGCTTCGGCTGGTGAGATGAAGTACAATTTAAAGGACCATCTCAAAAATGAATGATTATAGACAAATACCTAGTTATTTCAAAAATAACACTTATTTTTTCAGCGTTTGTGTAATAACTGGAGAGATTTCTTTTTACATATGTCATAACTGTGTATCATTTGTCTGAAATTTTTTGCCCTGCGAATACATCATAGACAGAGTTTGATTCGTCAAAGTGTCTACACTAAAACCTTTTCAAATTTTTTCGAGTTGAAGAGCTTTTATAGTATACGTTCTAAAAGTATTGCAGTCAAGAGGGATCGTGCCATAGTTTTGGTTTTTCTTGTCTCATCTATAATGCACAGATGTTCAGCAATATAACACTCAAATGAGTTGACTTTTTTTCTCTTCAGGTATTGACAATCACTGTAAAATCAATTTCAGATACTACATTACTACTTTTAGATTTCAAAATTTCCTATGCGAAGTTCATTGCTACTGGAGTAGATAACGATTTACTTTATACAACAATCATATCACCTTCTTCATTTAATCCTTGAAGCTTTTATATTTTGCAGAAAGAAATAGAGTCGTTCGGGGTAATTCGGATCAAAAATAAAAAATTTCATTTTATTTTTTTTCGTTCTCATTCACTTTATGCAATAGAGGTTTGAATTTTGGACCATAAGTAGAACCAAGTGTCCTCTATCTATTGACGAAAGAATCTTCGAAAAAGAATGTATTAGAAAAAAGTATCAGCGAAAATGGTGAAGGTCATGGCGAGCTGATCTGAATTACCCCAANAAAAAGTGATTTGCTTTTTCTAGTTGTACTGATGACCAGAAAAATATTGTTCGGATATTGAAACCTCCATTTGTTCTATTTAGTACTTACATGATTTCTTTATTTTTGTTACAGTGCACCTCATTAATATTTCCCTAGTGATGGGCCGTAAGCCGTAAGAAGCGTAATACGTTCGTTTTCGTATCGTCGTAAATCGCGACAGAACAGAAAAAGAAAAGTCGTGATATAAACGAATATAGTCGTAAAAGCTACGGCAGAACGAAAGAGCAAACATATAATAAACGGCGTAATGAACGTCTTACGTTTCTTACGCGTTAGAATACATATCAAATATGATAACAAAAGGAAAGAAACGATTTGAATTTTTCTTATCTGGAAATTGATTTTCTCGAATATTCTTTTTTTTGGGATTAAAACAGCAACTAAGAAAATAAGTTATTAAGAAAGCCAATATAATTATCATGTCCCTATTTTTAGTATGTTCTAGCGTCATAGTCCTATCGACTTTTTAATTAAGTAATATCAATTTATTAACTGTATCCAAATTTCATCCATTTCTTTTATCAAAAGCTCTAAGAGTTCCACAGTAATAAATAATATAAAAAAGTATAAATATATGAATAAATATATCATACAATAACAATATGTTTTTTTAATTATTTTTATTTAAGAAAAGGAGAATATCAGCGTTTTTAGGCGTCAGTCTCGAACGTCTGTCCGAAACTTAGTGACCAGTCGCCGAAAACATTTGTTCCCAGGATACCCTTTACCGATAATACATAAATATTTAAATGCTAGTTTGGGTAATATATGACAATTTTTTATTGTGTTAAAATTAATTCTTACGTTATTTCATGTCAGACGTAACAAATACATGCTTTCTTTATAGTCGTTTAGTTATCTCTTTGCATTGAATGGTTATTACGTTATACCGAACAAGAACATCTTACGAGAGGAAAGGAAAAAATAATTCACGACAGAACGAAAGAAACATATATATCAACTTACGTATAGTCGAGAGAACAGAAAAAATTGACGATATAACGTAATGCTTTTTTTTCTTTCGTTCCTTCGTTCACTATAATTAAAAAATCATGTCGCGATATACGAAGATGTTTCGGCCCATCACTAGTCTAGACTTTGCTTTGCACAACAACAACATTTCTATCGAAATAATAAAGCAATTAGATGAGCCTTTTGATTATCATCAATCATATGATTGTTCAATGAACGTTGTTATTAAACAGCAACATAGTCTTTTGTACAGTTGCGAAAATATTAAACAATGTGTAATTGTCTCCCGTCGTTGTCATATCCACTCTCAGGTATATCATTCCCTGCTGTACGAACGACGACAAAGATCTGTTTCATATTTTGTGCAATATCACAATAAAGACATGAACATACAATATGGCAGAATAATTTTATTCTTTACATGTAAAAACCAACACTTCGTCGTTATTAAACATCATCGTAAACTTACTGCGTTCAGTGAACAATTGAAATCCTCTCAATATTATAGTTTACTGAAAGAAGCTGTTGATCTATTTTTTATTTGCATCGCAATTAGCTCTTCTGATTGTATTTGTATACCTATTTCTTTGATTTCTAAACACTGTATTGTGTTTGAAGCTGATCGATATTTTATCGTCACACCTGTATCTGGTTACGAAGAACATTCTTAGTTGACCACTTTATTTTTTTCTCGTATTTTACTCTTAAGCATTTTTTTTGATTTTTATGATACTAGCTTCTTATCTTTTTCTTAACTTGTAGATTATTATCCTAATGTCAAATACATCGAATGTCGCAAGTCGAGTTCTTGCTCATTGACAAGAACTTCGTCAACAAGAAACAACTCGTGAATCAACAGGCTACGGAAATTCAACCGCTATTTCCTCACCTCAATACTATCTGTTGTTCTTCAATGATAATGAAGAACGTCTCATTCTTCCAGAAAACAACATTAAGAAAATTACGTATCTCAATAGACGATAGTTATATTCATTCGCAAGTCGCAAAGCAACAATCTACACCGACACGACGTACACTTAAGGATATCAATGATCCATCAACTGATATTGATATAATTGCATATAATTAGATTCAACTTGTAATCTTTGATTGCAGGTGTGAATAAACGTCAGCGAACACATCTGAAGTCTCAATCACATGATCAAAACAGTATAATTATTTCGATCTAAAAGTCATTTTGGAAATTTGTTTTGCATTTTAGGATCAATCAAGCGTCAACGACTTTTAGTTCATGATGATGATGATTCTGAAAATGAAGCGAGTAATATCTGGAACTCATTTTGTGCGTCGTTATATTTTGTCTCCTTTTAGTTTGGTCTAGTGCTGCAGTCGAAACGACACATACTAGTCATCAGTTACTAGTTAATCGTAAGTTGATCATCGTTTTGAAACTATTCAATGTATGTTCTTGATGCAGCTCAAGCAATGTATAGTCAAACAGATGGACTTTTCAACGTGATGACAAGAACAATAGAACGTCGGTTTATTCATTTTGATAAAAACATTGAACGATTGGCACAAAATAACTTCGTAAGTAGAGATTTTTCTTTCCAGCAAATTTCGTTCTCGTCTTATAGGATGATCATTCGCTCGACTTATTTAGGGGAAAAAGATGAAATATTTGAATCTACAGTAGTAAGATTATTTATTATATTTCTATTTAATTATTTTTAATTTTATTCAAATTTAGATTTATGGAAATGAGGATTTGCTTCGTATTCGTGCAAAAGATTACGGTAATTATGGTCGTCTGTTACTACGTAAATTGTATAGCAAAAAAGAGCTGGCCGAATGTATTTTACCTCCTGGTCATCAACGTTTTACAAGATGACCTCTTGACAACGATAGATTCGAATATCTTCATAGTACCCCTTTCGATAAAGTTTCATACTGCTACAAGTCTTTTTCTTCCAGGAGCAATGGCTACTAAATTTCTATTATCTGGCCGACACTATGGTCAATTTTATACAAAATTACTTCGTCCTAAATTGGCTGATTTTCTCATCGATAAACGAAAACGACAAAATAAAGAAGCCCAAATAACGATGATTACAGATTCAAATGACAACAACATTTCATAAAACAGTATTTTTTGTGTTTCCTTTTTTATTTGTGACGACTAAGTTTCTTTTCCTATTATATGAAACGCAATAGGATAGTCATGTCTGCTTTTGTAAATGTTAGCTATAAGTATCGGCTTCCCATTATCATTGAATTAATTATTACTAATTTTACGTCTTCTGTATTAGGATTAAAACATAATTTCATGCCTTCATCTTAAGATTAACAAATTAATTCAATGCATCGACATTACTATTGAACTACTATTATCCAAGTGCCAGCACTTATGGTTCCCAAAAATGGAACAATTGTTTCATTTATGGGAAATATAAGTGGTTGTATGAGGCAAAAATAACCCAATACTAATGCCAATGAATTGAACTAATTTTCCAATCCTAAGATCAAAGCATGAAGTTATTTTTAACACTAATACAAAAGTTTTGAAACTAGTATAATTAATTCCAATCCTCATGCGAATCCGACACTTCTAGCATTGAGTTATTTTTAAAAAAACAGACATAATACTCCTTTGTTTTTATTACCTTTTCTCATTTTCATTGATTGACCTCGCAGCGTTTTTGTTCGTCGTTTGCCATTTTTGCATGATTTCGTTCTAACTAGTCTTACTCTCCGCTCATTCCTTTTTATTTTAAATATGTATACAAAGCTCCTTTTTCTACATGCTGTCCCTATTATCAGAATCCTCCTACTTTTCACGATAAATCGATGGGTCCAGAACATTTTTCAACACAAAGTGTTGCTTTAAAACATGAATATCTTTTCTTCTCCGTTCAGATCATCTGATCCTTCACCTCAACACTAACTATAATTTATTTTAAAAAGAATACTTTTCTTCACTCTATAAAGATCATTAGCACATCCCGACCAACACTAGCCATGATTTACTAAAAAAAGTACTTTTAGCTTTCATTTATGTCTTCTGTACATCCAAGTGAACGGCAAGCAATATTTTTGAGAAATAAATATTCCTCTTACTGCCATTCAGGTATCCGAAATATACAAACCTATGAAGATCATTTTTTTTGAAGAACCAAATATTTTGCTTGTTTTCTTTAGGTCTCCGCCATATTCATACGAATGTTAACTATTATTTTAAAAAGATACATATTTATTTTCTTTTGTTTAAGCCTTCGATATATTCGTATGAATGCTAAGTATTATTTTAAAGAAATAGTTGTTTTTTTTGTTTTAAACGGGTCTTCGAAATATTCATATGTATCGTAAGTATTAATTTAAAGAAATAAAGATTTTTTTCTTTTCTTTAGGTCTTCGAAATATTCATATGAATGGTGAGTACTAATTTAAAGAAAATTAATTTCTTTTCTTTTCTTTAGGTCTTCGAAATGTTCATATCAATCGTAAGGATCATTTTAAAGAAAGAAATATTTATTTTCTTTTGTTTAGGTCCTCGAAATATCCAAATGAATGATAAGTATTATTTTAAAGAAATAGTGTTTTTTTTGCTTTAAACGGGTCTTCGAAATATTCATATGTATGGTAACTATTAATTTAAAGAAATAAAGATTTTTTTCTTTTGTTTGGGTGTTCGATATATTCATATGACTGGTAATTATTAATTCAAAGAAATAGTTATTTTTTTCCTTTTGTATAGATCGGCGAAATATTCATATGAATGGTAAGTATTAATTTAAAGAAATAAAGATTTTTTTCTTTTCTTTAGGTGTTCGATATATTCATATGACTGGTAAGTATTAATACAAAAGGAAATAGTTATTTTTTTCCTTTTGTATAGATCTGCGAAATATTCATGTATCGTAAGTATTAATTTAACGAAATAAATATTTATTTTCTTTTGTTTAGGTCGTCGAAATATTCAAATCAATGATAAGTATTATTTTAAAGAAAATAAATTTATTTTCTTTTGTTTAGGTCTGCGAAATATTCATATGTATGGTAAGTTTTAATTTAAGGAAATAAGTATTTATTTTCTTTTGTTTAGGTCTTCGATATATTCAAATCAATGGTAAGTATTATTTGAGAGAAATAGTTATTTTTTCCTTTCGTATAGATCTCCGAAATATCCATATGAATGGTAAGTACTAATCTAAAGAAAATAAATTTTTGTTTTCTTTTTGGTTTAAGTCTTCTAAATATTCTTCTGTCTGGTAAGTATTATTTTAAAGAAATAAACATTTATTTTCTTTTGTGTAGGTCTCCGAAATATTTCAATGGATGGTGAGCTTGTTTTTGAGAAAAAGTGTTTTATTCTTTGCTGTCGGTGTGTCCGAATAACAAAAAATGTCGTGGTGAGTTTGGGGGATATAAGTGATGTTGTTCGTTGCATACGAGACGGGAGACTGTATAGCTCTTAGTTTTCCCTTGAAGAACAGCGTTTCATGAATAAGGGTGAGGATACTTGTCTAGACGAACTGACAGCGGTTCCTGAGAATACTAGAATTATGTAGGATCATTTTAAATATGGTTTCAATGATTGGATTGTTGCTCTAAAGTGGCGAAAACGCGTGCGAAAGTCAGAAGCATGTAGTGCTTGTCGTGAAAAAATCGCAGTTGTTTCGCGGGATTTTGATGAGTAGGATGGTTGTTTCTTTTGGGCCCTATGTGCTCGTAACGATATCTAATTTCATCGTGTATTGGCTGTTAACCGATCAATTATTACCGTTGACCCCAAATTTTCACGAAAGAGGCTGTGAATCTAATGATTTATTGCGGATATAAACATTATACGAAATATGAAGAAGCTTAAGTATAGAATGCTGATTTACATCCGACATGATCATGTCGGAACTTGTTTAATATGTCTGCGAATTCGACAAGTTCCGTTCCCAGTCAAATGTTCGTCGGATTCCGGGTCACTGGATTCTGGATTCAATCCGACAGGATCCAGTGGGAATAAGTCGAAATCCGACCATTTCCAACATCATCCGACAAGATCCAGTGGTCGGATTTCTCGACCTGGGCATGTACGGCCGTATCCGTGCAAGAGATACCAAAAAATAAGAATAATTTCAATCGATTTTTTTAAACCCCGAATCTATTTAAATTCTACTGATTTAATATGATTTTAATCAGAGTATTTGGTTTCAGTGAACTTTTTTCATCCGCCTTCAAAGCGATTAAAAAAATTGCTGCACAAATCCCTTTCAAAAATTATCAGAAATCAGCTCTGAGATCTACATTTGATAGAAGGCTTTGAGAAAACTTTACATCTTGAACGCTGCTGCAAAAAAATCAACAAAAGTCACTGAAAACTCACCCGAAATAGAGAAAGCATACAAAAAAACTATGTGCCATTTTTTTGGAAGTAATATGGAAAGCGTGAGAGAACGACTGCTAGGTTCCAGTTTTCTTCGTTGAAAATCACGTTGTACAAATGTGGTGCTCATAAAAGGCATCTAATAGTCCGATTTCATTAAAATTCATTGATTTGGATTACAAATCACATAATTTCAGAATTTCCAAAAATTGTTTTTAAAGTTTTTTTCCACTAATGTCCATCTTTCTCGATTAAGCATGACCTTATACAGAGGTAGCACTTACGAAGAGATCTTAGCATTCTTCATTCCGCTAGAATCCATTTGTTTGGACTAAAAATCTCCTTATATGAAGCTATCAGTAGAAGAAAAGCCTTTAAGTGCCTTTTCTCTTTTTGATTGAAAATCAATCAAAAATACCCATTCTTGAAGATCATTCTAATAGGCGCTTTGAGAGCGCTAAACATATCTTCCATCTTTACTCATTGCTTCAGGATTTGAAGAAAATACCTTTTAAGTTCCTTGTTTTCTTTTGCACGAATTAAAGATTAAACAAAAAAGTAAGACTTTCTTGAATTGATCATGTCGACGGTGACATGCAATTTTAATTGTGGCTTTTAGGCCATTATAAGAAAGGATCTTTAAAAATATCTTTTAACACAAGTTAAATAATATACAATCGTAGGGGTTTACAAATTGATTTTCGTGGAAAAAAATTGAAAAGAATGAGTTTTATGGAAACCTGCAAAAATGAATAAAGATTTAAATATTATATGAAACTTTCACATTTATTATCATTATAAAACTCCAAAACTAATCTCGGTTCAGGAGTTAAAGATACTCCGTTAAAAATTGAATAAGTCGAAAAAGCAAGCAGCTAGCGATCTGTGGTTTTCAGCAATAGAAAGAGCAAACATGAAGGCACATTTTTCTCCAATAATGTGTAAGATAAGATCCTTTTAAAACTAATCTTCCCTGAAAAATATTCGAAAAAATACATGAAAATAGTCTACCGGTTGGACGAAATTTTGGTTTTCACATATGATTTAGATAAACAGACTTCAGATCTATAGTTCAAGACACAATGCGAATGCTTATCTTCTTACATCCGAACGCTGAACAAATGAAATCATGAAGGAGTTTAATCAAACACTAGGAAATTACGTTGACTTTCAGCTAAATTTTCTTACTTTTTTCAAAATTTCATCCGAACGGCAGACCCTTTTCACGCATTTTTCACCTGTTTTCCCTAAATAATTAGTTTCAAAAAAGGATTTTCTCTTACACATTGTTGGAGAAAAAGATACCACCATGTCTTCTCTTTCGATTGCTGAAAACTGCTGATCGCCAACTGCTTGTCTTCTTGACTTATTCAATTTTTTACCGAATATTTTCAAGTCCCGAACCGACATTAGTTTTTTTGTCATCCTCCACGTAAAAGCATGTAAAAAGTCCCTAAATAGCCGTTCTTGTGGTTTGCAATGAACTGTGTCCTCTCAAAATACTAATATACTCA